CCCCCCCGCCCCCATCCTTCCCCTTTAAGAAGAGACCAGTCCTTGGCTTATGCCATTCATAGGCTTTATTGTCACTTGCAGGAGTGGGGGGCACACAGCCAAGACCCCCCCCCACCCTCCCGCAGGGAAGGTGGCCCTGGGCCACTCAGCACTATTTACACGTGTTTCCTGGAGGGGCAGGTCCTCATCTCAATCGCAGCAGCTGCACTTCTGAGCCTCGGCCTCCGGCCCCTCTCCGCCTTTGCACACACACTCCTTGGTGCATTTTTCGCACTCAGGCGGGCAGCAGGAGCAGCAGCCTGCGGGTAAAACAAGGGGAGGGGGTAGAAGGAGAGGTGTCAGGAGGCTGGCTGTTGTCACATCTGGTCTGACTCAGCGTCTATGGTGTGTCAGCTGCATGCTGGGTTGCCTGTGGGAGAGGGGTACCCAGCCCCCAGCCCCTCAGGTAGGTGCTGGTGAGGCAGGATAGGAGGAAGCTAGGAAAATTCCTTGGCAACTGGAGCTGAGAACCTGAGACAAATAGCCAAACAGACGAGCGGAGCAACTTACAGCCACACACAGGTCACCAGGGCGGAAAGCCCTGGGTGCCCAGCAATGAGCAAAACGAGTGCCAGGCCTCGCTGCCCGGGGTCGCCTTCCCTCCCCCAGCCTCCCGCTGATCCTGCGGTTTGGTCCCAGCCTGACCTTTCCTCCCCGGAGATAACATCTAGGCCTCGGCTATATTTCAGCTCCAGGCCCCGAAAAGCAGCAAAACCAGGTGGCAATGTCTATTGACCCCCCTGCCCTGGTGCTGACCAATCCGTGGACACCACCATCTAGAAAAGCTGAGGAATGGTCTCTGGAGATCGTCCCTGAGAACTCCCCTAGGATCCCCACCTCGGAGACCAGATGAACCCCTTCGAGACAAAGAAGCCAGTGTGGCCCTCCTTGGGCACATTCACTCGGACCTCCCTTTCAAGTGAATTTTCTTTCTCCTAAACTCTAAGGGTCCCCATGGGCCTGTCACCAGGGGAGCCATGGGCTGTGGCAGCTCCTCCCGGCTAGCCCCCTGAACCTGTCCCCAAGGCCCTCTCCTCCCACTGTCCAGTGAGCTGACAGCTGCCGCCTGGCTCTCTTCTTCCCCGGAACGTTTCTAGGGAGCCAACGCCGCCCCGGGCTCCCTCCTGTTGCTACTGCTCCCCTAGGCCCTTCCCGGTTCCACTGTCCCCAGCCTTAACCATGAAGTAAGAAACCCAGGCGCTACCCCCTGGCCTGAGGCCCAGTCCCCTTTCTGGTCACACAGGGGAGTCCAGGATGGCAGGGTCAGCCCCGGCTGGGGAGAGTGGGGCCTGACGGAAAAAGCATCACAGGGCACACGGCCTTGAAAAGACGCTTGGAGGACGCACTAGGAGAAGCACAGAGGGTACAGGTGTGGGGGGTCCAGGAGACCCATGGGGTCATCTAGTCTTACAACTCCTGGAAAAGAGAGGCCTCCTCCTACCTCCTACTCCCCCTGCACATTACACTGCTGCTGCGTCTGGGGAGACCTGGGGAGGTCACATTAAGGGGTATCCACAAAGGCCTGAGGGGGATGGGAAGTCCAGAGTCAACCCCCAAACTCACTAATGGCTCCCCCAGGCACTGGAGGTTTTAGGGGGGGGAGAGAAATGGGGAGGTGGACCAGGATAACAGTCCTCAGTTCCAGCTACCTATTGGAATCTTCTGGGAATTTCCAAAACGCCTTGCCCCAGGCCTGCTGGATGAATCACTGGGGGTGGGGCCAGGCCGATTGTATCTTCAGGCCTCCCCAGGACGTCTGTCCCGGAAAGAGTCAGAAGGAATGTAGTAGGGGGCCCCGGGGTCTCTCCATGTAGCCTGGACAGGCAGGGGGAGAAGAGCAGGCAGGGGCAGAGCGGGTCCCACACTCACTTTTCTTGCAGGAGGTGCATTTGCATCCCTCGCACTTGCAGGAGTCGGCGCCAGCGCAGGTGCAGGACCCTCCTAGAAGGGGAGAGGGGAGAAGCTGCAGGAATGGTTCAAGTGGGAAAACTCGGGCGGGGCCAGGGCTAAAGGGAGGAGGCGGGGTGCCGAACCTCAGTGCCCTTTGGGATATGCCCACCCTTCAGGAGGTTTAAAGTGGGAAATAAGGGTCCCTTCCCCCCAAAGTCCTTGTCGGAAGCCAGAGGACATGGGATTCCTTGGGAGTGCGGGGCGCGCTGTGCCGCAGCATGGGGTGGGGGAGGGGGCTCACCGGTAGGACAGGGGCAGGTCTCAGGGTCCATGTCGAGCGGAGATGGCGCTGGAGAGGGTGAATTGGCTTCTCCGGACCACTGGAGGCTCAGTGGCCGCAGGTGATGAGGCTTTTATAGCCCCAGGCGGGGGCGCGCAAGCACAGCCCGCGGCGCGCGCGCTCGGCGCCCCCTCTCCATCTGGGCTCCCAGGAAAGCGCGCATTGCGGCAGCGGTCCCCCTCCCCCACCGTGCTCCCCCACTCCCCGCTTGGCGGGCAGCCACCTCGGTCCCCACCGAGGGAGGCCCAGACGGCGGGGAAAGCCTCATTTCAGAGTGTGTCTGTGAGGCTGTGTCCGGAAGGGATTAGCATTTGAATTGTTAGTCTGAGTGAAGCTTGCTCCCACCAGTGTGGGTGGGCAGCAGCCAGGCTGGTGAGGGCCTGGGTGGAGAAAGGCAGAAGGAGGGCGAATGGCCTTGCCGGAGCCCAGACATCCCTCTCCTGCCCAGAGACTTGGCCGCTCCTGGTTCTCGGGTTTCTAACGGCCTGAATGCATCACCCGCTGTCCTGGTTCCCCCGCGTGCAGGTGGGAGACTGTGGGCCCCAGCCTCCACAGCATGTGAGCCAACTCCTATCATAAACGCAGAACCTATGCTAATGTATGTACGGGGCGGGCAAAAGTAGCTTTACAGTTGTGACTAAGCAAAAGTTTATTCTTGTATTATTATTTATTAATGATTGTATTGTTTTCCATATGAACAGCTGTAAACCCACTTTTGCCCCACCATATATATATATATGTAAATATATTTACACACACACATATGTACATAGATATATATGTATATGGATATATATGTACATATATGTCATATCAAGATCCATATATATATATATATATACTGGTTCTGTTTCTCTGGAGAACCCTAATACACCCCCTAGGGTAGCCAGGATCTTGAGGGGACTGAAAACCATAACATCCTTCTAAAATACCCGCCTCCCCTTTATTCTTCCTTTATTGTATAAATTTTTGGAGAATTAAATATGTGCAGATATAATCCTTTCAAATATAAAATGAGAAGCCTACAGTACACTGATTTATAAATGACTTTTCCCATATTTATCAATAGATTGTAAATTTCTGTCCCTGAAATTAATTTCACTTCTACGATTTTTAAAAAATATATTTTTATTGATTTCAGAAAGGAAGGGAGAGGGAGATAGAAACAGCAATGATGAGAGAGAATCATTGATTGGCTGCCTCCTGCATGCCCGCCACTGGGGGTCAAGCCTACAACTGGGGCATGTGCCCTTGACCAGAATTGATCCTGGGACTCTTCGGTCTGCAGGCGGATGCTCTATCCACTCAGCCAAACTGGGTAGGGCTACGTCCATGATTTTTCCCTTAGGAGACAACATTCTTTAAAGTAGAATTTGTGTCTCAAAGTAAACGTATTTTTTTCTTTTCAAACAGTATTTATTTTAATAAAGGCCATATCAGTAAATTTTGGAAAATTCTGAAAAATAGAAAGAAAGAAAAATATCTGTGATTTGAACTCAGCCACTGTCAACATTTTAGTATATTTCATTTCACATTTTGTATTCTATGTGGCTTTTCTTCTGAAAAAAAAATGACTGCATAACTAATTCATAGCCTATAATTTAAGATTTAACCAAAATCATTTCCTGTGCATTTTTAGTGGCCGTGTCATATCCCCTCATGTGCACGGGCCACAGCTTACTTGAACAATTTCATAGCCTTAGACATGAGGTTGTTTCCAGTTTTTCACAATTATAAATAGTACTGAAGTGCACCCCCCTGTGAGTGAGTGAGGCTTTCCCCCCACTGAATTTGTGGTGAGTTCCCTAAAATAGATTTCCAGTAGTGAAACTATTGGGTAAAATGGGAACAAATGTTTTTGTGGTCCATTGATTACATTGCCAAATTATTTTATGTTTTAAAAATATTTTTATTGATTTCAGAGAGGAAGGGAGAGGAGGAGAGAGATGGAAACATCAATGATGAGAGAGAATCATGGATCAGCTGCCTCCTGCACATCCCACACTGGGGATCGGGCCCAAAACCTGAGCATGTGCCCTGACCGGGAATTGGACCATGACCTCCTTTGGTTATAGGTCTACACTCAACCATTGAGCCACACCAGCCAGGTGCCAAATTATTTTGAAAGCCGTATGCCCTGTGAATGTGGGTGGGAGTTCACACTTTGTGAAGGCCTTTACAACTAAGGCGCAATCTCTTGGAGAGCTGGCTTTGATTTATCCTCCGAGGGACCTAAGCCCTTTCTGGGATGTCCGGGTCCCAAAGCCAGCCAGCGTGAAGCATGAACACCCCTCTCAACCCTTGTACCATTCCCAAGGGCCCAGCATACTCCTGCCTCAGCTGCCTGTGCGCCTGGAGCGCCCCCTGCAGTCCCACGAGGAACTTCCCTTCTTGTCTTGTGACCGGGCCTCCCTCCATTCCTTTCCCACCAAGCCCTCCTCTGGTCTCCCTCCAAGTTGGAATACATCCTGAGCAGGTGCAGAGTCTGTCACAGCCCCTCCGAGGTCTCCATTGTCTTCCGTAGGCAGCACGGGAACACGATCCATGACTGTCGGCCTCCTGACACAGCACCTGCCGGCTCCAGGAAGCTCTGCCGTGAGAAAGCTCTCCTTTTTAAACCTACAATCTGTTTCCTTCATGTCTCCTCTGCTTAAGGTCACGTGTAACCCGCCTGTTTACTTTCCACTTCAGCTCCACCCCTTCCCCCGTCTTCCCACATGGTCTTCAAGCTTCCCTCTCGGCTAGTCCTGCCCGAGTTGGGGGTCTTTTCCGAGCCTCAGTTTCCCCACCTCTAGAATGGAGGTAGCAATTCCCATTCTGTTGGGTTGTTGCAAAGATGAGCAATTATACCAGTAAAAAGCCTACAAGATGGTAGGCTGAAAACATGCATTTACCTCTCCTTCCTCCTGAAAATCGATCAAAAGAAACTTTAAAAAGACAAGGAGAGAAAAGAGAAAAACTAATAAAAGCCGAGGATTGGAGTTTGTGGAGCAGAGACTGCCGGACCCTTAAGCTAGATCCAGTTAGATCCCAGCAGAAAGAAGATTGCTCCCACAAATCCCACCCCCCTTCCCTGTGCCCCAGGCTGCTGGTTCCTGGAAGAGGCCATTGCCCTTCCTTAGGCAAGTGGGTAAGTCTTTGCCCCATTATCCGGGGTGGGTCACACCCCAGTACCCCTATTCATCCCGCCCTGTCCTACATAACCCCTTAACGCCTGCCACATGGTGCAGGGGGCATCCATGTCGTCTTGCTGTCCCCAGATGAGCCTCGTATGTATATAAGTTCCCTTCCTAAGCTCTTCATATAATGATGGAGTTGTTAGCCTTTTTCTTTGGTATCTCGGCCCCCCAAAATTTTATATAACAGTGTGCGGAAAGATGACTTGGACAAGTACATCACTGAATCAGACTTTAACATTTTTCTGGAATACCAGACTGGGTCAAATCACATTTATGGGTGAATGAGAGCAGAGAAAGGCACAGCTCAGATCAAGACGAAGAGGAAGGTCAAAGGGGGATTGTGTTTTGTGTTATTGGGGAATCAGGCTGGGACAGCAGAAGATGGAGCTGCAGAAGCCAGGATTCCTGGGGGATGGTGCGGACCAGGTCTCGGATCTGTCCCACTGTAAGGGTAAAGACATGGGGTATCTATTTTACCTCCTCACTACTATTTGGCATTGGTTAGGGGCTATTCCCAGTGGCCTTCCCAGCCTACACTGTGCTTGCGGCAAGAACACTCGGGCAACCCAGTGTGGCTCAGGGGTTGAGTGTTGACCCAGGAACCAAGAGGTCACGGTTTGATTCCGGGTCAGGGAGGTTGCCTGAGTGGTGGGCTCAATCCCCAGTGTGGGGTGTGCAGGAGGCAGCCAATTGATGATGGTTTTATTTGTGTGTGTGTGTGTGTGTGGGTGTGTGTTTTAAAAAAATATTTTTTTATTGCTTTCAGAGATGAAAGGAGAGAGAGAGTAAAAAAATATATATAGATAGATAGAGAGAGAAACATCAATGATGAGTGAGAACCATTGATTGGCTGCCTCCTGCACACCCCACACTGGGGTTCAAGCCTACAACCTGGGCATGTGCCCTGACCCGAAATTGAACCTTGACCTCCTGGCTCATAGGTGACGCTCCAGCACTGACCCATGTGCAGCTGGGCTGATGATGTTTCTCTCTCCTTGATGTTTCTACCTCTCTAACCCTCTCTCTTCCTCTCTCTCTCTCTCAAAATCAATCAAAACATATTTTTTTTAAAAAAAAGGCCCCGGCAGCAGGAGAAAGCCCCCAGGCAGAGCTGCAGGAGCCTGCTGTTAGCAACCTGGGCAGAAGGGATGCAGGCAGGCAACCGCCATATCTGCAATGGAGTTGGCCCTTCTGGGCCCTTCTGAGTGAGGCTCAAACAGTGCTCTGACCACCAGACAACCGTGAATGGAAACTTTATTGCTCCAACACTTTACATGAATGTCACCAACACCTCATTGGGGCAAATATATAAAAAGCACACTCATCTCAACTTCTCCACTAACGCTCTGTACAGACGCTTCCCAGGCCGCACCCCAGCACGCCGGGTGCCCTTCAGGGGCAGCAGCTGCACTTGCTGGAGTCTCCTTTGCAGATGCAGCCCTGGGCACACTTGGCACAGCCCGGGGGGCAGCAGGGGCAGCAGCCTGGAAGGGTCGGGAGATGGACAGATCAGCTTGCGGTCCACACTGCTTGCTCTGTTACCACCTCCCCTCCCAGCGCTCAGAGGAAGTGGGAAAAGAAGGGCCTGCCATGGGCTTCAATCCGCAGTCCCAAAACCCTGGGACCAGACGTTGTGGGATGTTCGAGCTGGAAGGCATCTCAGAGGCCATGTGGAGGCATCAGAGGCCCAGAGTGGGGCCAGGGTTTGCCCAAGGGTATTGGACATTGGCTGATCTGGGACCCAACCCCAGAGCTGCTGACTCCAGGCCAGTGCTCTCTCCCCATCTCCGCTGGGCAGGCTGGAACCGCCCCGCAGTCCTCCCAAGTGGGCAAAAGGCACCCAGATCCCCTCCCTCCCACCATGGCTGGGGGTTGCGGATGGAGGGAACAGATTTTCCTAGCGCCTGGCCCTCGGTGCCCCGGTCGCCGGACTCACTTTTTCGACATGTTTTACAGTTGCAAGTTGTGCATTTGCAGTTGTCTCCACAGATGCATATTCCTCCTGGAAGAGAGGACAGAGCACAAACGTGAGGA